CGTTACCTGAAATGCTCGTAGTTGGAGCTGATCATCATCCGAGGCTCCACTGGATTTAGTTACAGCTTGCAGGAGCTAGTAACTGGCATATCCCACCCAATGAAGAGTGGCCTATGTGTAATCTGTTCACTGTGCAGCTGAGCCCCTCTACTTTCAGTTTGCATATCAATTCGGAAGTTGGGGGAACTCGATCAGAGGCGGCAGGATAGGTTTCCTTGAAGGGGGAAGTATGAACACGAATATGCCCAGCAGGAGGCTTCTGGCAGAGTATATTCGAAGGCAATGTGAGAATATGCGGGGCAGATGGCCAGTGGCTTTATAATGTCCTCGGTAGTGTGAGTCCTGAATGCGCGCTGGCAGAAGAAGAACCACCCAAGAATGAACTGATCTTTTGCAAGCAGGTTGTTTCTGGGTATTCCGGGTAGGCGTCATTGATGCCGTGATCGGCCATTGCCTTCCTTTGATTGAATTTCAAGATTATGACGACCTTATTTCCTGCAATTCGCCATGTCTGGCGGTCCTGTGCAAGACTCTTTGGTTCTTAGTTCATCGGAAACATTTGCGTAAGTAATTTCAAGTGTCATTGCAGGGTTTTTCTCAAACGCCTTTGGGGAAGAAACCCTCTACCAACGTCAGTGTAGGCAAGTGGCTTCTTCCTGTACGCATCAGTCAGTCTCAAAACGCGATCGAACCATCGAAGCTGACCTTGTCTCAACATTATAAAGAGGTTGTGCCCGGCAGTCTATTGGAGGGTCCGTTCTTACCATGCCTTCTTTATTGTGGAAATGCCTTTCACAGTTTAAGCGACTTCAAGCAACGTTTCCAAGGCTACAAAGTCCTTGAAGAGAATTTTCTAATCCTCTCATATTGGAGGATTAAAACCAACCGAAGGACAGGATAGCTTTGCAGATTCCGGCTGCAAATGCTTCATAACTTTTAATGTCCTTAAAGCAGCGTTCCTATGGTTAGAGAATCAGTTCACCGCAATGAGGCAACTGTCAATGAGGATGAGGAAGTTTCTGTGTTTTTGTCAATTGATGTTCTGGTAAGGTTTTTAGCAGTAGCAGACCGCTGATCGACCACCCACATCTGTTTAGCGTGACCTGAACCTACATGCACGTGGAGATACCTGAAAATAACAGGATTGCTTATCAAAAGACGAAGATGCGATCACTGGAACAAGAGTTTTATTTGCCTGACGTT